TTTTAAAAATAATAGGTTCTTAAAAAATCAGGGAATTTACTCTGCTGTATAGTAGATTTTATATCTACTTCATGTCTTCATCATTGTGTAGTTGGATAAATTAATTCTAATTAAAATGATGCCACATCCGGAAAAGCACATTATCTGTGTTTTATCTTAAGTTCTTTTACAATATCTTAATTTTTAAAACGACAGTTATTTTTGAGCTCTTTTGAATTGTAATATTTTACATACCTAGTCATAAACTCCTAAACTCGCTTAAAAATTGAGATTTTGTAAATAACTTATGAGAAGATAGAGATAATTTACGTTGAAATCGATAATAGGTCAGATTAATCTTGTATTAAAGCTAATATGTAATAATACAAAATTAGTTCTGCTGAATACAGATTTGCCATGTTGTATGTTTGTAAGACGGAGACAACGCATGCGGAATTTGTGATCTTATTGCTTATCCGTTAATGGTAACTACTCATTACCTACTCGTATCAATAATATTCACACTTTTAAGATTATTGAATGCTATCATCTTTTCATCAGTTAATTTAAAAAAATCTAGAATTCTGGGCACAATTTCTAAAAACTTATTTCTATAATTTGCCAGCTACCCTTATCAGGTACGTAATACTTTAGTAACTACAAAATTTGTAGAAAACTATTCAACAATTTTTCTTTGTTCAGTAATAAATTGTTTTTGGAATAATTTGTCTTTTTTCATTTTTTTGGTAGTTGTGTATTTTTATTATATTTATTTTTTGGATTTTATGAATGTCTATGTAGTGTGTCTATATAGTCTATAAATAATTTGAACCTTGAAGTATAACATTTATGATGTTAATATACATACATAGACACAGTACTTCACATAAAATTGTTTATAAGCCTATAAATACTTAAGGTCCTTCCTGAAAATAATAACAATTTTAATAATAATTATAGAATCATAATATTATAATTTTAAAATAATAAATTTTAGTATCGTACCGCAGCAGTGTGTGCTTATTGTGCTGATAAACGTTTCGGTACGATATTTTCCCGTCCGGTACTCCATATTGAGTACCGGATTAGTGTGCAAGCTACGATTGTATAAATATCGTACAAAAAAAAAAAATAGTGTACCGTACCAATACCGTATCATGTACCGCAGCAGTGTATGAGCACTTTAATACCCGATTATGTGGGTAATCAACGTTTTCGGGTAGTGGGTACCTATTACTCAAAATTTTCGGTTATCTAATGGTTTTTGATATATGTAAACTGTTTAGCTAAGTCTTAACTGCTAAGAGGTAATCAGTATTAAATTATACATTACACAATTATTCGAATAAAAAATATTAAAATATTTTTCCTTTTAAATTAACAAAATTACGTTTTAAAAATAAAACCTTTAGTATTTTATATGAGCGTTATTAGTAATATTATATTTCAATAATTAGTTTATTTAAGTTTAATGCCGAATAACATGTTAAAAGCTATTATAAAGTCTATATTTAAATCTTGCAGATAACGGATATAGTGGTCTTATACGTTACCTTCTATGTGTATAGCTACGCAGATAATAATAAGTAATCACAATCAGTGGCGTACACACAGGGGGAGGAGGCGTTCAAACCTACGCACAGGACCAATAAAAAAAAGGAAATTGTGATATTATTGATGACGTGTAATACATTCATAGTTTCATTGTTATGCTTTGAACTTAAAATATACAACTATACAAAAATTATAATAATTGAATAATTATATTGATAGGTGTTTGAAAAGTTTTGTTAACTATGTTGTTTTTATATTACTATAGCTACTAATTTACTGTAATGTAAAAGTAAACAGTAAATTTTTGTAAAAAAGTTATATAAAATAATATCTATTTATAGCAGTTATTTATCTCTGCAACGAAAAAAAAAGATAATGAAATTTATCATGTTTTAGAAAAAAATATGTATTTACATAGAAATTCCAGTTCTAGTTATGAGCATACAAACCATAACGGGTACCCGAAATTTTTTAAATCGGATAAAACCCGTAAAACCCGGGTACTCGGGTATCAAGAGCACTAGTTTGTTAACACAATCTATTAAATAAGTAAAAATAAAAGTTTTATTCGTTACTACTTATTTAATTATCATGCATTTTTATTTTAAAATTTTCATAAGATATAACTCCTTCAAGTTCATAATAAATTTAAGTTTAAGGATATGAACTTCAATAATTGAATGGTTACTAATTTATACGCTAAGTGTAAATTAAGTAGGTATATTATGTTTACTCCTTTTTGTCGTCACAATGAATAAAACATATTTTAAACTAAAGGAATAAATAGTATTACCAGTATTTCTATCATAATTTCTGATCATAGATCTTTGTTGTTATTGACTTATAATTATATTAAACATAAATATTATCTATAGAATCAGTAATAACCATATCTAAGTATAGTCAAAAATTAACTGTTAACCGTTTAATCGTTATACATGTTTTCAATGATCACTGACTCGGATTTTTGTCTTAATTTTTGTTATTAAAGTGGTCAATAGTATTACTATTTCTAGCTATTATGGTATTGCATTTATGAGTCGATTCAAATATTTATATAGTATTTTTTTCAACTATAGTATGATTTAAACTACGTCTGTGTGTAATGCACTTTAAAAACGAAAAATCCTATTTTTTTTCAATGCTATACTGTTAAGCACAACGTTATATTAATATATGTGATATATATATACTATTTTGTGATGTAAAATGGATTTTCACTACTCGCTGAAACCTTGAAAATGAATCAATAAGCCATTAAATTTTCAAGTATGATCACTGTGCGGCAGACATAAGAAACAAGGACGTCTAGTTCAGTTTTAATACGCTAGTCAAAATATAATTTCTTTGTTGTTTATATACACATGTAGAACATTTTCTCTTGTCCTCCAGCAGCACTATTAACTTTGTTTCTTAGAGATCCAAAAATTTACTTTTTCACTGAATTTTAATAATTAAATTATTTTTGTAATTTGAGATGTCATAGGTTTGTATATAAATACGAATATATTAAAATTAGTATGTTTATCTAAATAAATGAGGTAGTTTGCAATTATTATTATCTTATATAGATTAGTGATGAGAATTGAATCCAGATTTTTTGAAAATTCGAAGAATCCGGATATTGGACTTTTGAATTTCAAAATTTGAGTATTTGGTTTTCGCATTGTAGATTTCTGTAATCTAAATCAGAAAATAAAATTAAAAAATTGTTATGAATCTTAAAATAACTAACCATACATTTTCTATTTACACAACCTAACATTTCTATTTAAATAAAGGAAATAATCCTTATTTAAAAATGTAATCGTACAACCGATACATGTTTCATTTTACTCACAATTTAAAACAATATTAAGTTTTAGTAAAAAAAATAAATTTTATATTATACAGTAAAATATACTCTCGTATTATTGTGATATTGATAATTGTTGTTGTATTTTTTATTGTAAAAGTATATTAAATATATTAATTTATAACAAAAAAATGTATAATTATCAATGCTTTAATAGAAGTTATACTTAAATTAATACTAATTTAATGTTTCAATATTTGAACTACAGATTTTTTTCCGAATTCAAATATCGGATTTCAAATTCTATAAATCTCGATTTTCGAACTTAGGTAAATCCGTATTTTTCCATCACTAATATAGGTAGAGTATAGGCTACAAAATTTATCCTCAGCATTACAAAATTTTTTAATTTACACACAAATAGTTAACGTATTGGATTAGACTGCAACAGTTTAATTTAACATTAATAAATATATAAAACAAGCTATAGGTAATTGTTTCAATTATATTATATTATGTATTAGTACCTACTTTATAATTATCTTAGAATACCATAAATTGCAATACTTTTGAAAATAAAAAAATTATAATTTAAAACTCAAGTAAAAATAGTTTAAATAATCATTAATTTACTATAATATACGTCAGCAATATGTTCTAAGAAGTAGGCGACATACCTATTTGTAATTAAAGTATTTAAGTGTTTGTTGTTTATATAAAAATTGAATATTATGTAAATACTTGATTATTATATTCTGAGTGTCTTATGTTAATAGGGGTAAACCAGTCCTTATTTTTCATAAAAAATTTGTACATTTTTTAGTGTACAATTATATGATATAGAGCTCCCTCTACCCCCTTCCATATGATTATAATTAGGTAACTACCAATCTTTTATTATTTTTTAAACTAAAAATATACTTTAACTGGTATAAATCTGAAAAATATTTACAAATTATTTATTTTAATTTGGGGTATATAATTTAAAATATCATAGATATATTTAAGTCCTCATTAGTTGTCTTGCTTAAACTGTCTTTCTGAAAAACACCTTTATAGTAGTCTTATTTATTAGTATTTAGTAGGCACACACTTCTCGAATCCGTAGTGCACACTTCCAGTTTCAAACTACAAACTTTGTATCGGGGTTCACTAAGAAAAATGGGCTGGGTTAAACAATATGTATTAGAAAATGATATAATACATAATATATGTACGGATACTTCGTATTAATCGACTAATTGGATTTAAATTTCTCGTTAGGGTTTCAAACATTTATTTGGACAACGGTTGGACTTATGTTTTACACATTTTAAACATTTATGTTTTACTTTGGTTTTACTTCAAATGTGTTTTTCGATTTTATTTATGATTGATTTTGAATTTTATCTTGTATTAGACCACTATAATTCAACTAGTTTGTGCCGATTCCAAATATTCATAAATAAAAAAAAAAGTTTTACCAAAAGTATTAAAAGTACTGTTTCTCTATTTCGTGCATACTTCTTTTTTCGATAAAGTTTTTATTATTGTTGTCTGTAAAACATATTTTAATACAGGTATCTAATGTATTTCTTATTTTATTATAACCATAAAACTAAAAAGAATAATAATATATAATTAATCGTTTATTTTTATCAAACTACTTAATAAATAAATAATTTTTTTTTAGGAATTAAGTGCCCAGTATGTTCAAAATTTGTTTTGCCAGATGAGATAGAAGTACATCTCGTTATGTGCTTGACCAAACCTAGACTGATTTACAATGGTAAGTCGATAAATAATTATTATACTAATTTATATGATGTTGAAAATAAGTCAATAATAATGTATAGATACATAACATATACATACATTATACTATACTATGTATACTACCAATATAAGTACACAAGTAATTAATTATAATACCATAAACTATTATTGTTTAATTAATAATTTTATATTTTAGTTAAATATTGTTTACAAATGTTTGCTGTTTTAAATAATATTATATTATTTTGTAGAAGATGTTTTGAAAGACGACAAAGGTGAGTGTGTCATTTGTTTGGAAGAACTGATACAAGGCGATACCATAGCCAGGCTTCCTTGTCTTTGCATATACCATAAAACGTAAGCATATAATCAAAGTTATTATTTTTTTTAGCTAGTTAATTGGTTTGGTTTATCTATATCTTTTTTTCTGTAGGGTTGACTGTTATAATTGATGGCCGGAGTGATATTTTCTTAAAATAGCCAAAATAAGATGCTAATATTCTCTTAAAAATTTTAAAATATTCTTCCAATATTCTTTAAAAATCATAGTAAAATATTCAAAAAATATGCTTATATATGAAAAAAAATAAAATACATACTACAAAAATATTGGTATAAAAAGGTATACAATAAAAAATAATAAAGCTTAATAAAACTTAAACTTAGATAACATTTTATCTATTTAATTAAATTGGATTAATGACGTATTTTTAATTATGAACATTTTTGTAAACAGTTGATAATAATATTTTGTTCCATATGTTCTGGTGTCATATTGATACCATAATCCATTAAAATGGTTTTATATGTATTGGAAGAATATTCGACATCAACTGAAGTTATAGGAGCAAATCAGTTATCATAGTCGTTGAAAATTTATCTATAATTTATACTTCATTATTTCCACTCAAAACTTTTGCTTCTTTTTTAAAGTTTAATATAACTATTATAGAACATTATTATATTTATGTAATTGCAACACAAAATATCAAAAATCTATAAAATTAATTGATTTATTCTTTAATATTATTTATTATATGAAATATTCTTTTATCTTGAAATATTCTCAAATATGCAAAAACAAGTTTTGCCATTCATTTAGACGTTTTATGATTTGCAAATATTTTGAACTCCCGTTCGACTTCATAGTATCAAAAAAAAAAAAAAAATATGCAAAATAATATAATTCCTACCTCTAATTATAAGAATACAAATGTTAAAAACTAATTTTATAATATTTTCAAATGAATTGGTTTATCTGACTCACAAATAATGACAGTTACAATAATTATGAATTATAATTATCGGTAATCAATATTTTATATTCATATATCTATATCGTTTTACCTTGGATCTTAAATGCATTTTTGTATTTATCTGTAAATTAAGTTCTTTGCTTACTAAAAATGTATTCTACGTAATATCATCAATACCTAATAATAATATTAATGATATGATATCAGTTTGTAGATATAAATTGTGTTCTATAGATGTTAGAACAAAAAGTTATGTAAATAAAAACAATTCTTAATTTATTTGGAATAGTGCCCTCAACCCTTAACGTTAACTTTGCATCTACAACAGAAGGATATTTTTGGTTTTGGCTAAAATTCAATGGGTGTTCCAAAATGTAGTCTAGCAATACGAGTAGATACCTCCAATTTATTTTAGTGGTATTCCTGGATCAAGGTTCAAACGGTTTTGATTTCCGGGTCACTAAACTTTTAAATATTATTTTAAACGTGTGTATAATTGGTAATTTTTACAAATAGTCCTTAATGAATATAGTGATAATGATATTTATACAAGTTCAAAAATGTATAAGATATTTTTGTTGATAACAAATTAGCATTACAAATTTTAAGTTTTTGATACTTTTAAAAAAAATGATATATTGATACTATATAATAAGTTTGATTTAAATTTTACTTTACATCATATAATTTGTTAATTTATTGTGTATTTATAATGAAAACTTGCTACTATCCTTTATTTTAGTAGTTTCTTATTTTATCCTAGCTGTTTAAAGTTACATTTTTTTTTCAAATTGTTTATAAAAATGTATAGTTAGTGTATGATGTATACTTTTAGCTATGATAAAAGTTTTTAATACATGCTGTATCCACGGTATATAACTAATACATTTAATTAAATAATAAAGTATTTTTTTATAAAATATTTGAATTTATATTTTATTTTAAACGAATTAATATATCAAGAAAATAGACGATTGATGATCTGCATTTTAAAAGTTGTCCGAACTAGACAATATTTTATCTACATTCTATGTTTCTATTATTGTTTCGTAAGCAGAATATTTTAGACGTGTCTTATTTATTGTAAAAGCAGTGATTAGATTAAAAAATTATTTTAAATTAAATTTACATTTATTATACTGAGTCATGTTTTATATATTTTAAGATTTTAATGTATACTTATGTAAGTACTTAATAATTTTTATACTATATAAAAGATATCAAAATAAGAAAAATTGGTAGCATAACTCATTATTTTATTTTTGTTAGTTAAATTAATTGAATGTTATAGAAATAATTGTTGTGAAAGAAAGTAGATTTAATCTTGTTAATTTAATTAATAATGTATTAACTTAATTTAAATCAATAGAATCAATAGTTTCATGTTTGATTTTCCTCGTAGATTTGAACATTTCTCGGCTTAACGATAAACTTTAGTTGCTTGTATAATAGTAACGCATTTGATATATTCTTCAATACAAAGAATTTTCTCGTTTTTTGTTCGTTAACTCAATTTATTTGACTATCTTATAAATATAAAATACATCATTTTATTTTTAAATATTGTATGTGAACTTTAATTTTAAATCTGTGTTTTATGTTTACTATAATGACTGAAATATTGTGCTGATTTTATAATTCGTTATCAATATACAATAAATATACAATAAAATATACAATATTATATATAAAATAAAGATAAAATAAATAAAAAATATTTATTCCCCAATATTTTATAATACAAAAAAGTTTAACACACGATCAAATTGATTTTAGAATACACAAAAAGTATTACTTTTGTTTCTTTGATATATTTTACTAAGAAGTGTTGCGATTAAAGTATTTTGTATTAACAAAAATATATGCTATAGATTTGTATTAAATTATTTTCATTTAAATTGACAGTTGTTAGATTCCATAAATTACGTACGTGTTGATTTTTTTTGTTCTCAACTTTTATTTTATCATTTTTGTTGTTTATTAGTGGTTTTACGCATTAAATTGTTGTACTTGAGCATTACTTAATATTGTACACATTTTATTTTATGATTTTTTTTTACATTTTTCAATATACATGACAATATTTCGATTGTTTTGATGAGTATTGTTCATTGGTAAATTACATAAAAATATTGTTGACCTAGGAAGTACTTGGGTCATTATGAACTTAATGTGTTGTTTTAATGAGGGAAACATGCTGAATGTACGTAGTGTTACATGATGGTATTTGAAGGTTTTTACGACTATTGATAAAGTGCAATCTTATGCGTTTGGTAGTCCCAGTACCATTTTACTATTTACATTTAAGATTCTGAGTGAAGCAAGGAACGTATTGATTTTACCATACTATGTTTTTTGCGACTGCCTACATGTTTTTGACTAGAAAAATGTTTGTCATGTTATTGTACACGGAACATAATTGTTTCCTAATAATTGTGAAAAATTTACAAAAATTACGAAATTACGGCTACATTTAGAGGATAACGGTTTTAGGAAAAAACAATTTTTTTTTCGTCGTATCTTTAAAATTATTATTGTAAAACTTGAATTTTATGGAGATTTTATAATTTTTAAAATAAATATATATATATATATATATATATATTTTGTGCCATTTATAGATATTTTAAATTGTATAGATTGTAATCCTTCATAATACAGTCAAATATATTTAAAAAAAAAGATATTTAAATTTACATGCTAACTTATTTTATTTTTAGTATAATATCCATAAAGTCATTGTGGTGTATAATTTTCTTTATAAGTTGTTATTTGTTGTATTTAATGAAAAAAAAATGATAACATATCATGTGTAAAAAAAAAATGTAAACTCTTATTATTAAAATTCCGATCACGTCACTATATGATACAAATAAATATATAATTTAAACTTAAAGAAGAAGAAAATAATTAGTTAATTAACATGAATTAATTACTTATATAAAAATTAATACTACTATAACTAATTTTTATCATTAAGAAAAAATATTTTAAATGCTACGAAATGGAAAAAGACTTAAAAAAGCAAAATAGCAAATAACAAATTTCTAAATATGCAAGAAAAAATCTGCATAATAGAAAAAAAGCAAAATAGCACTTATACTTTGAAATATGCAAAAATATGCAACTTAAAATTTCGCATTTGGCTTCTTAGTTATCTAAAACAAATGTATAGTTTTGTACTCACATAGGTATTTCTAGGACATCTAAAAAAATATATGTAAATGCTATAAGTTATGAGCTCTGATTATTATATTTGTTAAGTATGATCAGTTTCGAATTAAAAATCCATCGTTGTGTACATAAAAATTCGATAAAATTGCTATCTTATATAAAAAAATAAAAAATAAAATCACTACTCAAAAAGTTTTTTTTTTCATATTCTATTGCGATTTTATTCATTTTGTATTCACTTAACGATGCATTTTTAATTCGAAACCGGTCATACTTTATAAATATATTGATAATACTCCAGGTTAAGCTTTTATTTATTTATTTTTATATATATATATATATACTTGTTTATGTTTTTATATATTTATATATTAATTTATTATTATTAACTATTTAATAATTTTTAATTTAATTTAATTATTTATTATTTTATTTATTAAAATGTGTAAAATGTGTCTATGAACTCATTTTTAAAACGATTTATTATTTTTAATATTTAAAATTTGAAAAATTTTAATTTTAAATTATAAATATTATAAATTAAACTTAAATATTGTGTTTAGGAACTATATATTTACTTTTACATTTTTTTTTTATGTATTTTCAATCTCATGTTTTTTTTTTATGTAGCATATTATATTATTTTAAAATGAAAAAATTCTTAATAGCCTAAATGTTTCACCAAATTTTATATAGTACGCCTTGTAATTATTTTTTCAAATTTACAGATGTATAGACCGATGGTTTGAAGTAAACAGATCGTGTCCTGAGCATCCCGGAGATTGAATTGTATATACATTGACGTCGAACAAAATCGATAAGGGAAATATGAGCTAAAACGCTACAGCTGCTGTATGATTATTCATTATTTTAAGTTTTCATAATTACGAAAAGTGTAAAACTTCGATCCCGATCTACTTTACCAGTATAAAATTAAAAATTAAATAAATATGCACGAAAAAAAAGTCAAAATTAGATTTATATGCTTTTGATGTTTTGCAATTTGGTTGTGTACAAAGGCTGATGTAACTTTATTGTCAGTTTTCACTCGATTTTTTATTTATTGATATGATATTATACATATAAAAAAATGTTAACAAAAATCAGTCTTATAATGTTATTATACATTTTTTTTTTAATTGCTAAAACAGATTAATATTTTATGTATTTTATAAAGTTAAACAACAATACCTATGTTGAGTTTTAAAATAAAATAACTTTTTTGAATACAAAATATTTAATTATATAGTTGACATATTTCATATAACAAAAAACTGTACATATCATTTTTTTTTTTTTTTAGACTTATTTAACCATGTTTTCCTTTTGGTAATTTAACATGATTTTAAGTAATAAAATAACTATTGAATCAAAACTTAAAATAATTTACTATTCTTTTTAATTTTTCTATATACAAAAGTTTTAAATTCTTGTTTTTTTTATTGATATTCCAAAAGAGTTTAAAAATTTATATAGCTATTCCAGAGTCTTAAGATAAATGTTTTGAATATTTTTTTGATTTCAAAATCATGGTCAATATAATATATAATTAATTTTAATTTTACTTAACTGCAACAATATTAAAATAGACTTAAGCATTTTGTCGTTATTTTACATTTATGTACGGTGCATTGTAACTTTGTTTTGTTTTGTTTTATAATTATTATTTTTTCCTTTTAAATTTTATAACCGATCAATGATAGTTGATGTAATATAATTAGGTTTGCTCTTTGTAAAATGTAATTAAAATTATCATTTTATCTATGTCAAATTGTTTTTAAAACTGAAATATGTACCTAGTTGAGGATAATTAAATTATTTTTAAGTGTTAACAAAAATTCGAAAATACAAAAAAAAGTTTCGATTGATTGTTGAGTTGCATTTATCTCAAGTCCCCAATGCCATTTTGAATGTATTATGATTAATATACATTGCACACACTTAGCTACAATAGTTGGTAAATATGAAACGCTCTATAAACTGCTATTGTTCTATAAACATTAAACTATTAGCCAGCTTGAACTCTGTGCTCTAAGTCTATCATCTAGAATATATTATGTTATAAAGTTTATTGAATTGTATGAAATAAATAAACAAGATATAAGTGATTTATTATATAATCTTATGTTGAACAGAGTTTGAAAATATGATTTATTTTTTAACTAATATTTAATGTGCATGCCTGTGTGTGTGTGTGTGTGCGTGTATGTGTTTTTAATTGTATATACATGAATGTTTTTGAGGGGTTGTAATGATAATTAGAATAATATTGTTTTAACAAACAAAGTAGTTCAGTCAAATTGTATTGTTTATTTATTTGTTATGTATAAATACACTTTGTAAGCATATGATAACTGGAAAAGAAAAATACATTTCTGGTTTCTGTTGAGGTTAACATAATTATTATTTTTGCAGCTTAATATGTAAAACCCATTCTAATCTATTTTGTTGTGATATATTTTAAACATGAATGTATAATATACTATAAATTAAAAAGATCGTATAAAAATAGTGTTTAAAATTATTATACACATTACACCTTGTCATTTATTTTCTATTAGATTTTTAGAATATTGTTCTGAAAACTAAAACATAGATTTTGGTGCATCCTTGATTCACTGATTATATAAATATTTGTTCACACTATTGAAGCTACCAACCCATAGTAATATATGTAAACAAATTTGCATTTTCTCTAGAGGGAAAATAATTATTTATCCTATATGTCAGCGGTTCCCAAACTTTTTTCATTCAAGGCTCCCTAAAAATTAAACATTTTTTTCACGCCTCCCTCAAAGAATAATAATTCTTCTATAATATCTATTCCAAACTGTAAACCAAACATAACATATTAAATATTTATCTTTATTATTATCGGTTACTTCATCAAGCTGAATCGCGACATTTTTATTTCTTAATTTATCAATAAGCTGATAATTTATATTATCTGAGATATCTTGAATTCTCTGACTAATTAATATTATTAGGCAAAGGTATATTTTTGAGTTGGTTTGCTACAGATTCTCCTATCAGAGTAGAAAGTATATGATATGGGGCGTATCCAAGAGCGTACCCAAGGGGGGGGGGGTCCGGACCCTCCAATTTAAATTTCTTCATATTCAAAAATTTAATAGTTAATAGTACAATAATAGCACATAGAGTATTTTAATTTCACATTATCTTCAATATACAAAGTTTATAGATTATATTATATACCTATAATGCATAGGTTCTTAACCGGGGGTCCATAAATGGTTATGGTTACTTGGAGATCCACGAGATGGCTGTGAGTTTTTTTTAAATAAGCAAAAAATAAATTTGTTTTGATAGCTTTTTTAAGATAATAATGTTGAACGATTTGAAAGCATCTTGAAAGACGACAATGTTTTTAAATATAAAACTTAGATTATGATAATCTAATATACCATATAAAGTTATCGTAATAGTAAAGTAATATAACATGACAATACGATCTAAGGAACATTTCAATTTAACTCGAAAACATATCACTTTAGTTGACCTGTCGCCGTGTAATAAATATATATATATATTTTTATTTTTTTTGAAGGGGAGGGGTGTCTGTGATTATATTTTATGCTTTAAAGGGGTCCATGCCACAGAAAAGGTTAAGAATCTATGCTATAATATATAAACCATACCATAGTATATTAACAGTTATTTGTTGTTATTAAGTTAAACTATAATTATAATTAGAGAATAGATAAAATAAAAATATTGGACCCCCCCCCATAAAAAATTCCTGGGTACGCTCCTGACCACATCTATTGCTGATGGTAAAATAAGTTCTTCGGCAATTGTATGAGGTTTTTTGCATTGTGCAATACGAAATGCTACTGTATATGAAGCCAAAAGAGCTTTAGATTGAATGCTTGTCTGATTAACGAAACTAGAAGATTGTTTTTTAATTTTGCAAGTTGTCTTACAAAATAATCACGTGATTTATTATTTAATGTACTATAATTAATCTCCAAATGACGTTTTAAATTACTGGGCACCATACTATCAGCAGCTAATATTTTCAAGCAAATAATACACTTAGGACGTTCTTCGTTATCTATTGTAATGTAAGTAAAACCAAAATATAAACGTGTATCGTGTGTGGATAAGATAAGATAATCGTTTCTACAAAAATTTTATTGGACATATAATTTATTTAAGAATAACAATATTTATAAATTTCCGACCACACGCCGCGCCGCCCTTGTTAAATGCTTGCGCCTCCTTTGGGTAGCGCGCCACACAGTTTGGGAACCGCTGCTATATGTGATTAGTAGGGCGCGGATTTTTATGTAATTACATAATTTTGTTGAACGTGAATTTCTCAATTCCCATTAAAAATAAGCTCGTTTCATAAGATCTTGAATAATATGAGACCTTTTTTTATTTTACATATTTTCACATATTCTGATGTAAATACATATTTTTAAACATTTCATCGATATTTACATATTTTGTAAATATTTCACATTTTCATACTATTTCAATACAGTTTTTATTTAATTTACCATTATTATATTGGAATTAAACGAAAGAAGAAATTTCAAATCTTGATTCAGATACTACAATCGCTATTACTTCTGATATTATGTAAAATTAATAACTTGCAAAATAATTTAGCATAATTTCCACTATTTTTTTTCATGGTTAAAAAAAATAAAAAATTAGAAACATTAAATCTAACAATAATTGAGAATCTCGCGATAGTGGAAAATACAGAAATTTAAATTAAGTTCAAAGAGAATCTAGAGTTATAATAAAAATTAATTAAACCACGTACTGGGTAATACGTTGGTCTACAAAAAATTAAAACTATTAGAGATAATCTAATTAATAAAAATGAAAATATGTCAAATTATATAAAAGTAACACCATCCGACATATGTGGTATGAAATATGTCCCATTAACCTCGGTCGACGTTGAATACACCCTCAGCCGCTACAAAATGACTTTGAAATCTAAATGCCTTACATTAAAATTTGAAAATCTTTAAATGTACGTCGTATTCAATTGTTTCGAAGAAGACAACAATGAAGATGATTAAATGAATAATTATTAATTAATACGATTAATTAAAAATTAATGTAAAATACTAGTTTTTTGTTATATATTTTACATTTTTCAATACATATTTTAGCAAAAATAAGAACATAAATATTTACATATTTTGACTTTTTTATTACATAGAATATGTAAGTGATTAGTTTAAGGTAAAGATGTAATTCAATATACAAATTATTATTATGACTTAAACTAAAAAAATTCTTTGAATTAAAAACAAAACATCATAGTAAAACGATCCTTCGAAAACAGATGCAGATGCTGTTTAAAGTACATAATGTTATTTTTTTTATTTCACTGCTGGTAACTTCCTTAAAAAATACGAAGTACAAATTCTCTAAGATAAAATTTGCACGACTTATTTAAAATATAAATTTTCAATGGCCTTTGTCTTTCCGTAAAGAAGTGAAAATTAAAAAAAAAAAAAACCAGGAAGCTGCATTTGGTCTTTAATTACGATTGGTTTAAGTTTTTATCCCCTATTTATATGGTTACCATATTTTAGGGAAAACCAGATTAATTTGTATTCAATTTTTCTTTTGATATAACTTTAATTGATTTTTTGATTAAACGATTATTACAACCAGTGGCGGTTCATCTGAAAGATTAGATCGTGTGCAATAGTAAAAAAAAAGGGTTCCTTTAAATTTTAATTCAAAATTATATAAATACAGTTATATGGGTTCAAAATTAAACTAAGTATTTTTATTCTAAAATAATAAAATCTTATACAAATCTATAGGTACTAACCTTTTTTATTGAAATTTTAATTACATTATAAAATAAGATGAATTACATATAAATAACATATAATAATAATAATAATAGTTTAATTGAAATTCCGTTTATTACGTACATACTTATTTATTTTTTTAAAAAATCCGTAATTTTTTTTTATTGTGTGTATCCACATGCGCTTACGCGATTAATAGTATTGTCCAAATTTAGAATATTACAAAATACACTTTCGTCAATATCATGTTCTTGTAAAAAATTTAAGACGACGCGGAAACCTAATTTTGCTTCATTCGAGCTTACGGGGATCTTCGGAACACTCTTCTTCATCATCAGATTTATTCTAAATTTCATCGTCATTGAGAACTTCACAGATAGCCAAATCTTTGTTAATAGCAACACATTTATATTTATATATAAAAGACGTGTATCATATAAACGATACATGAACATTATCTTATCGCATAATAATAGCCGTTACAGCGCATAAATAGGTCGTAAAACGTCGAGTATCAATCTTCAAAATTGTAAAAATTCGTTACATTGCGTGAACTTTGGTCAAAAAATCTTCGTTGTATTGAGAGGACCAAAATACATTTAATTTTTCGTTATATCCGAGATTTTCAAGGTTCCGACAGTTTTATACGTTATATCGAGGCTTTCGATAAGTCGAACTTTGTTATACCGCGAGTTGACTGTATATAATAAATAAATATTACGTGTTATATTATCATATAGGTAAGTCGCATTTTACTTTTCATCCTGTAATTTATTTGGGGTGGTGTTGCATATAAAATCGAAGGATATTTTCGTTTTAAACTATGTGCGGGAAGTTGGCCCTCCTAAATCAAGCTAGTGACTCCAAACCTTCACAGGTACTTTTCAATTAATTTGCTATAATTTGCTACGTAGTTTTCAGAATTTGCATACCCGCGATTTTTCCGGAAAATCATATTTTCTATTCGAGGGGCCAACTTCACGACAGCCCCCCCCCCCAATTTTAAGCTAGCGACAGTCCTAAGTCTGTTAAAATAGGAAGGAAAATGTTAGTATAATGTAGTACTTACCAAAAAATATTCAGGAACTAGTGTAAACCTAAAATAATTCAGGACCCAACTAGTGTAGTAATTTTAAATTCGGGACCCAATTCAGATTCAGCCGTTATATCACAACTTAAAAGCGTAAACTGGGGGGTTCCAGGTCCCCTGAACCCTTCTCTCCTATAAAACCGCCACTGTAATCTTCGTGATAATTACTATTATTTTTTATTGTTTATACATTTTCATATGAATTTATTTGTATTTGTAGTTAATTATTGTTATTTATAATTTAGTATTGTTACGTTTTAATAAACACATAATACTAGTAAGGGCTAGAAGAAAAGTATTCATTATAGATATAGATAATTTTTTTATTTTTATTCTTCAAAAGTTTTATGTGTTAGATAACGTTTTATTTTAAACGTTATTTCTGGTGATTTATACTTAAACAGACATTGCTTACACGGCGAGTTTCACACTAAACGAGTTGAACAATCACAATTATTTTTTCTGATAACGCCGGATCATTCAGCTAGTATCATTTATAATTGCTCGGGTAAAACAAAAAAAAAAAAAATAAAAACGAAAACAAATAAAATAAATAAAGACAAATGTACATAATAGTTGTTGAATTCGTCGTAACCACAGTTATCTACTCGGGTTTGGAGCTCGAAGCACTATCACATGGTCAGTTGGCGACATGGCCGAACTATTAGCGTTAAAACTAACATTTTCAATAGGTTCCCACATGCAAAAGTCGGACGATTCCGGGCCAACCACTACTAGCGCTTTTAGTTCACCTACGTTGCCAACGGTCGTGCTCCAACCCGAGTGGATAACCGTGGACGTATTCGACAGCGTCCGACGGAGTAGATGTCAAAAAACATCTGCGTCATGTTCTTCTCCGGGGGCGACGAAATCGTCGTATTCGTCGTAGGCGTCTAAATCGTGGTCGCCGTCGGTTGTGTTCAGATCTTCGTCGTCGTCGTTCGACGGCGGCGGTACGTCGGTGGTCGGGAACCCGGAGTATCCGCGGGCCGGACAAGTGTCGGTGTCGTTGTCCGTGGACTTCGCGCCGGCGTCGTCGGCGGAACACCCGCCATGCGAGGCCGCGCGGTCACTTGTATCGTCGCCGTTCGGGTCCGTCACTTCTGACCAGAAGTCGTCGTCGTCGTCGTCGTCGTCGTCGTCGTCGTCGATGCCGTCCAAGTCGTCCATCTGCAGCACTATCGGCCCGGGGTGCTGGTGCACGTTCGGGTCCGTGCCCGGTTTCGGTAGCCACTCGTGGTCGAAATCCACCATGGGCCCGTACTCGCGTCGATGCTGGTGTTCGCCGGCCGTCGTGTGCGCGTGCTGCTGACCGTGCGAGTACGTAGGGAACAAGCCCAACAGGTCGTAGTGCACCACGTACGCTATCGTCATGAGCAACACCTGCGAAAAACAAACACACGCGCGTCCGCGCGCCGTATAACAATCGTAATCGATGGGCTACGGGGAAAAACAGACGTCGGTGTTCCTAGACCGTTCGGTGTTGCAGTCTTAACATTTCGGAATTAAAAAAATTAAGAGATCAATTATGAAATGATTTAAAAAAAAAAAAAAAATTAAAAAAAATATGCTCTAGTAATACAAGAAAAACAACATTAAAAAAACAAATGACAAGAAGTTGTCTGATTTTTCTGTTTTCCACTATTATTGTTCTTCCCGCAACCCAGCAACTGTGATTTATCACTTTTGTTTTCTTTCGAATCGAGGGGTGGACAACCGGGGCCGGAATTAGGGTTTCTTACACTGTAATTTATCAAGTTCTACTAATTATTCGAAGTTTAATAGGTCATGATTTACTTAAAAAGTTCAAACAGTCTTACAGTGTTGCACTGCAACTTTTCACAAAGAACTTCGTTCTCAATGTTATATATTATTGCGAATAATAACATATACATAAAACTACGATGAATATAATAGACTAATAGGCATGGACTGCGATAATATCATAAATCGTATTATATATCGTATGTGTATTTTGTATTTGTGCGTATGGAATGAATTGATAATAATTTACTGGTTGAAAACATTTTCAATTTATTATGAAATAGATTACAATGCTGACACTATAATTTTAGTTCTGTAATTTGTTTTCTGTTCATCCCTCATGTAGTAGTACGCTAGTACTACAATAATATAATAAAAACTATAATTTATGATGTTTGGGAATATAAAAAAATATCAGGTGTAATAGAGTATTTCAAAATTAAAATAAAAGAACACAATAATTTCTAACACAGAGATTTAAACAATGTTTCCCGATTTAATTCGTAATTTACGACTTGTTATTTTATTAATTATGTGTATCTATAAACTAGTTATTATATAAGCTATTATTATGATAGCATTATGTATTTTACGAGATTTGAGTAAATAAACATTGCTATAAAATATTGACAGTAAAATTTTGCACATAAATTGATCTTCTTATAGAATATTGCTGGATGTTTTTCAAGAAGTTTTCGATGGACCGAATTACGAATGCCGTAATGTGAAAATACTGAACAATAATAGGGTATATTTTTTGAGAACCCTTATTAGACGCATCAATAACAATTGAAAAATAATTACCATTTTAAAAAGCCGTCACCATTTTCAAATATTGAATAGCTAGTTCAATTGAGCTAGATCTTAAAATTATTTTTGACTATTGCTTCTGCTTTAGCACGTCCACAGTGAATTTTTATCGTCTTAACAAAATTTTCATATAGAGAAGTATTCAGTTTTATTCCAAATTCCATACTTAAATAACTATGGTGATGATTAATTGCGTGGTAAATCGATGATATTTTAATGATCGCTACTTATAGTTCATCCGAGCTATTTTGTTTGGTCATAAACGAAACCATTAATGAATTACGTTGCAAATTCTGAGAATTTTTTTTTATGATTTTCACTATTTAAATTAGTATTCAGAGCTTTTTCATCGTTCCATGTTATCGTTAAATTAACGTTACACAAAGAACATTTCGCTTCTTTTTCTACAAATATAAAATAGTACGGTTTCGGGTTTATTCAGAAAATTTTTATTTGGTATCATATGACATACATAATATAATATTTGTATAGGAATATGAATTTTTTAAATTTTAAAGAGAAGATTTATCTTTACTCAATCTAAACGCTTACGGGATTCAAAATTGGGTCGCGATCCACTGGTTGAAGAGCATTTATGTATATACGATATTCTTGGAAAATAAATACAAATAATGGGCATTTTAGAAATTTTATTTACTGCCAAACAAGAGAATAACAATTTATTTTAATTTATTTTAATAGGTTTTGTATTATTTTATTTTGAAAACACAAACGTTTTAAATTTCCAGGTGATTTTTAAATATAGTTCAAATAATTAAAATTTAAAATTAACAACATTTTTCTTCATTTATTTTAATGTAATATTTGTATTACACAGTAAAAACCAACCATTAGTGAGTACTATATCTATTACAACTCAGGTGATATATGATAAGTAACTTCAACAAAATTAGCATGTCTTATACAAATAACAAATTGTTATAGAATATATTCCAGATTATAATCACAAACATAGCCTATATGAAACCTAACGTCATTAAATAATAACGTAACTGTAAATAATAAAGTGTAAAGAATACATTAAAAGCATAAACAAAAACAGAAAATTATAGTTATATTCATAATGTATGATTAAATGCAATATTTAAAATTTATAAGTTCAATGCTTGAGTACCATTATGTTCTTTAAGACTTCAGTTACCTGCATACATCCTTATAATTTTTGTCGCAATGATATTAGAAAATATTTTACACTGAGATACTACTGGAAAACATAGCGTAAGTACACATATTTAATGAAAACATTTGGATATAGTTTGATAGCATAAATACAAAAATATGAAGTGAAGCATATTGTATACAGTTAGTATATTAATCTTATTGTAATTATTTTAACCACGCGGAAAGGAACTATTAAAATATACTACATTTTAACTTATATTTTTTGGAACTTTTGCTTAAATTTAAAGTTGTTTATGATTTGAATTAGTTATCATCAACCAATTGTTATCACGAGTACTATCAAGTATGACCTATTTTTACTACGTAATCTATTCGGTAAGTTCGTAGTTGTCTTTATTTAGAACGAAACTTTCGATCGAACAAAATATTATTTAAAATAAATAACTTGTTTAATATTTTTATAAAATACAAAAAAACTTGGCCTAATAATTTATTAGAATATGTTTTTTTTTCAATAAACATGCTATTTTTTGTTTTAATACACAAAAAAATCCATTTTGTAATATTTTTAGTAAAATAATAATAAAACAGCTACTGCAATTGTTTTTTTGTTTTTTACTGATAAACGCTCGTAAATGACACGACAAGTGTTGTACATTTACGTATGTATGATAGATACTGCATAGTACACCGTTTAGGTTTACTAAAAATTCTGATCGTGCTTAAGTAACATATTATACAAAATTGGTTCAAAATTATAAGTATTTTTATTCTGTATCTATTTAAGATGTATTGTATCAAAAAAATGTAACTTACCGTCATTATTCCAAAAGAGAACATGTTTAAGTTTTTATATTGTATTCAGTATATACTATACAAATCACATTTAAAATAAACTTCAATACAATTTCGTTTTCTTTGGTTTTACTTTTTTTTTTTTGTGTGTGTACGCGATTTGATTTTCCGTATTTGTTTAGTTGTCGCAATCCACATATGTATATAAATTTAAGCATTATTGTGTGTGTTATTGCACATTATTGTTATTATTGTGTATGTAAGCTGAATAGTTTCATGGAATGAGGGGGGACACATAAAGTACGTATTATTACATACACCAATATGTTTTAGAATATTTTGCAATTTCTTCGACTTTTGTTCGTTTAATTTATTACACGTTACTATTGTAGATTATTGCAAAATCATTATTAAATCATAACCGTGTATTTTTTAAGTATTACTTAATATGGTATTTATCATGTTTGGTCTACAAGACCCGAGCTCCGTGGTGGAAAGATTAGCCGATTAGTGAATCACTGAATCGTTGCCTAGGTGTATCGCGTAGAGGCTCTTTCTTGGCATCTTGTCAACTTTTAGTACCACCATTATTACCATTAATATTGTTACCATTATTTATTTAGTACATTATTTCATAATTTATTTTACTTTATATATACCAGTTGACTTTTTGACTAATTGATATGTTGTGTTATTTATAGTTTGAAATGTCATTGAAAAATCATCCATTTAAGTACCTGTTAAATGATCTGTCACCTTAATTCGAAAAATAAAGAAAAAAATATGATATTGTTTTTTACAGCATTAAACCCATGTCAATATGGATACTGATAACTGTATTAAATAAATTATAATTTATATTGTAGGATATCATAATATCTTTTATTTAACAGGAATATTTGAAGGAGTATATAATCAACCCGAAACAATCCCACAAGTTTATAGATAATATAATATAAAGATATTAAATAATAATGATTGTATTATATTAATGTAAAACGTTAACATTGTGTTGGATAACTATACCGTGATCGGATATCAAAATAAGTAGTTTCTGATCGAATAGTTTTGATTACAAAATTCGTAGTTTACATAAAAGCTTATAGAAAATAGAAAATAGGGTCCTTTAATAATTAACCCTGCATTAAATTATTAATTACTTTTAGTTATCCAGACGACTAGACTACTTAAAAGTTATAGGGAACTCGGAAGGATTAATTTAGGTTTAAAAGTCTAAAGGCTTACATGATCATTATATTTGGTCCACCATGAATGAATACTATCAAGAAACCGACACCGCACAACTGTCGTTCTTTATGTACATTAATTGCGTTTAGGTAATCTCTCCAGAAGATTTACTTAGTGGCATGGTAATGAATCGAACGCTTGTATAGTTCAGAGATGGTGTGAGTCGGTTGATGAGTGGGTAAGAAGGTCGCCGTTCTTGGTAATGTTAAAACTACGCCATGATAATTGTTAATTACGGTTAGTAAATTTAAATTTACATTACTACAGTCATCGTGACGTCAAATCGTCAGAGAAACGATGTATACATATGGAGATATACTATTCAAATCGGACTATACCAGAATAAATAAATAACAATTATACCGATATCGAAAGTAAAATATTACCTGCAACCATGTACTTGTACGTAAATACTACTGTATAATAGACAAAAGCACTGAAAAACAATACTAATTTATACGTTACTTATATATATATATATATATATATATATATATATATTATTTATTTTTTTATAATTATTAATTAGATGACATATGCGAAATGTATATTGAATATTATTGTAATAATAATGAAATACATTTTAGTTTTATAAAATATATAAATGTGCCTGTTCACTATCTTAAAGTTTCATTAGGTATCCGAAAAATAAATTCAACAAACAATAACTCATGTGTCATAATATTATTATTGTGCACACTTGCTTGGGATAGTTTGCCACCTGCATCAAGTTTTTTTTTAATGGCGTATTTTTTGATTCTGAGTAAAGTGAGTAATCTATTAGTTTTACAGCACTTTGATGTTTTTTTTTTTTTTTTTGTAAAACAATCGCATATTCAATTTCGGGTATAAAGGGAACGATGAAAAATTTTCATGTAACCCATTTATAAGTTAGTTCAAACATTTTTTAGGAAAAATAGAAACTTATGTTTTTAATATTTTATATTTTGATTTCAATCACCTGTATACTGCGAATTAAAATAACATAAACAAAGTGTAGTTAACTAGCTAAATGTAAACCTTATACAAGCAATTCTCAAGAATTTTAGGTCATTCAATCCCAAAACAAAAAAAAAACATTTAATCGCGCCTCCCATGAATAAACAAGATAATATTTTTTTATTCTTTAAATATAAGCAAATTACTGTCGATCTAAAAGTAAATATCTGGTAGTGTAATATACAATATAAATATTTGTCTAACGCCTCCTCAAATAAGTGCTTGCGTCATCCAAGGATAACGCGCCTCACAATTTGGAAACCACTGCCAACTTTAGTTATAGTATTGTGGTTATGACTCGATGTTTAAACATGCTTATTAAATTGTATAATAGTATAGTATAAAAAAATTAAAATTACATTATTTCGTTTGTCAATGTACTCGTAAGACACATGCACAATTAAATCAATAATGATTTCTTAAAACACAGTTGATTCGATGTATTAAAAGATTATTAGAAAATATAATATAACAATTATCATTTGAAATTTCATAATATTTTGTTATTATTAATCATGAAATATGTAAGTAAATCGCAAACATAAATATATTTGAGTAAAATGAGCATAATAATGTAGTATAAAATATAAAATAACAATATTAATGTTGTACTTAATAGATTCATTCAGTAATGACATTTTAAATCGTAAATAGTTTAAATTTAATGAAATATTTTATTGTGATTTATTGGTATAAATTTATATACCTAGGTATTCTTATATGTAAGAATTCATATCATGTTTGTATCCTATTCATTTGTAATTTTTTTTATCTAGTAAAATGGAGGCATCACAGTTTATAATTATTTATATGTTTTATTTTGAACGTCTTATAAAAATTAATTTATCTAAAAAAAGATCCGAACATTTTTACGTACAGCAATTTGCGATTATTTTATTGACTTTGTATATTCCTGATGGATTTGGTAAACTGAGTCCAATTTTATTAATTTTAGGTAAACTGAGTCCCACTTAAAAAAAAAAAAGGTAAATTGAGTCCCTCATATAAAAATAAAATCGGTAAATTGAGTCCCTTGTATAAAAATTAAAGCGGTAATTTAAAATATGGTGAAATGCTGTTTTTTTTTATTTAACACACTTTTAATTATATTAACACAATCGTATACTACGTACATTGAACTTACATTTATCAGTTATCAGTCTGTTGTTGTAGATAGTTAGGTACTTATATAAATGTCGCATAATAATACGGAGCGATATACGAGTATAATAATATTTAACGAAGTAACGATAAGATACACTTACCTATCGTACTCGGAGAATTTATAACTAAATCAATGATTATATTAAACGAGATTAGTTTTAAAAATTACCCATATAGCCATACGTTTCAGTTTTCTGTCGTGTACCGTCAGTTAGAGTTAGTTTTTCTATATTTTATTGTATTAACTTTATAATGGATGTAATAAAATGTGAACGTAACAAAACACTTATTATTATAAATGGTTACAAATTTCGGTTTCATAAAATGTTGTAAAATTATATACAGCGTTGGATTTGCTCCTTAAATATATGTAAGTGCTTTTTGAAAATCAATGATTCAAACACAATTCTTGAGAGTTCTGAAAATCACAACCACGATAAACCAGAAGATAAAACGTTGAGCCGGCAAAAAATTAGCAATGGTCTAAAACGGAAAGCCGTTAAAGATATTTTAAGTAAGCCATCTAAACTCTTACATTCTGAGATACAAAAAGAAGACATAAATACATTAACTTTGTCTGATACGGCTCTTATTAAAAGAAATATACAAAATATTCGATGAACTGTCCATCCTAATTTACCAAAAACTGTGATGAAAAACTCAGTTTACCTATTCCGAAAAAAGATAAATTCGTTTGGGACTCAATGTACCTAAGCCCATTCCTGATGATGAATTTTAAACTCAAAATTGATCGTACATTACAAATAAAATAATACTTTAGTTTAAGCATTTATTTGTTTATTTCTATACATCAACTATTTATTTATACATTAATTTTCGAGCTATAACCATTTACTAATTTTTATTTTATTTTTATTATATTAGATACTATTATTTTTTTTTCTAGAAAATAAATCGTTCTTTTAATGTTAACTCTAAATTATGCACTTTTAAATCGATTGAATATTTTTCATAGAAAAAGTTATGTTTTTATCATGCTAACCAGTCGTAAAATTTTTTTGTTTTTTAGTATAGTATAAGCCTACTGTGTGCGGATTTAGTATTTTATAATGAACGTGACTGTGGCAAATCCCATACATGCCCTATAGAGGTATAAAGCTAACAGTTTTTCTTATACATGTAAATATAATATTTTTATTGAAGACTGTTTACTATTGGTTGCAAAAAATATTTTACTTTTAATACTAAAACTTTGACTAAATGAATAAAAGATAAAAAAAAATCACTAGAAAAATTGTTTAAAGAACTAGTACAATTTAGTTAATAAAATAATATAAATAAAATAAAAATAAAAAATTGATATTGCAATGCAATTCTATTTAATTTCTTAATTTTGTCATATTAAGTCACAATTTTATTAATATAAATCTTATAAATCTGAAGATGAATTTTTGATTCAAAATCGATCGTATTTTACAAATTAAATAATAATTCAGACTAACCTTTTTTATATATTTATATAAATTATTTGTTTATTTAATTATATATAATTTAGTTGTCTTTGTAGTGTATACGGTACCAGAATTTAAAATAACTACGACAATATTTAAAATATAAGCACATTTTAATTTAGTAATATAATAATTATATTCAATATTACACTATAAACATTGTCTTCAGATATATAGATAAGAAGACAATCATAAATCATTTATATTAATGTTTAATTAGTTAATATTATTATGTATTCTAAAC